TACATATATTTATTTATACTGTATATATATAGTGTCGGTCAATCTTATTTTTCTTTTCCTTATAGAAATATATATATATATATTGTAATGTAATTGCAATTACCCATGAAATTAAAAATAATTTATTTAAATTGATTTGCAGGATTTCTGTGACACGTGTTTAATTTATGAGATCCACCTGTCTGTGACTCTAGGGAGAAAAGTAAGCAGAATGAATCGTCTCAAATTCTTCATTCATTAAAAAGCCGCCCACCTTCTTTTATTGGCAACGCTTAATTTTAAATTACCTCAATAATTAACTAAAGTATTAATCTCCCAATAAAGAAAAAGTTATATTCTAATTTCGAGAGAGGGCAATTGTTATTAATTAAAGTATTAATAACTTTTTATTAATCTCCCAAGGCTATATATGGCTATCGACCAATTTATTTAAGTTAGCAATTCTTCGAATCCAAAATCCAATAACTTTGAGAATCAACGGGAGAATTGTATAATATTAATAACCATTTTTTACCATGTTCAGAGTAGGAAAGAAGATAATAAATGTGAAACTTTCAGACTTTCTCATGTGTGTGTATATATATAGAAGACTTATGAGCTCCTTAATTATAAATGCCCCATTTAATATTTGCTTAATTCTATTGAAAATTTCTTTCATTATATCATAATTAGCTTAAGTCCATACATAAAGTTACGAATTTCTCAATTTTTAATAATTTATAAACATGGTATGATATATATAAACTATTATTGCTACCAAAAACATAATTCAATTTGTCAACATGAGTTTAATTCAACGTTAAGACACTTTATTCTTCTTACGAGTCATAAGTTGAATCACTGTGTACTAAACAAACATAATTCAACTAAGAGGTTAGAATAAAAAGAGGAAAAAAATTATTATCTCATTCTCAAATTATTTTAAATAACTATGATTTTAAATGGGTAGTTTATTATGTGCAAGTTGAAGGATTACATAGAGTGGCCACTATGGTAATTTAACAAAAAAAAAAAAAATGATTTGGAAGTCTTTATACAGGGATTATTAGTTACTTAGATTTGGTTAGGATTGTAATTTTAGAAACTACACCTTCCATTAATCTATTAGAAATTAGACTATTAATAAAGGTGGTTCCAAATTTAGCATAATGGAGGTTTAATATCGTGTGAAAAAATATTTGAAATATGTTTCTTCTTCCTTTTTTTTTTCCTTCCTTTTTCTTGAGGAAAATGTTTCTTCTTTTTGTGATAGCAAAATTATTTTATTCCATTATTGCAAATGTTTTGATCAAAATAATTTATTTATTTACTTTTTTATTACAGGAAAATGATTTATTTATTCAGCGATCTTTCATAATAATATTTTTAAGTAAAGTAATTTTTGTAAGTATTTTAGAAGTCGTATTACAAATTAAGTGAAAAATATACACTACTTGCATAAATACAATAATTTCTGCTTAATTGTTTTTGTTCATTTGTCCTGTTTCCTACTTTTATAAAAATGCCATTGTATTTTTTTTAGTTGATTAAATATATTATGAAAAATTATTTTTTAGTTGCTGATTTTTTTTTAATTGACAAATTAGATTAAAAAAAAAAAGCAAATCGTTTGAGATCCCCTAATTGCCAAATCAAATTAGACTGGGCCATCACAATGAATGAGCCCGAGGTCTGTGGGCTACTTTAGGCCTCCCCGTTTTAACGGGTTGAGCCTATTCTTTTTTTTTTTAATTAGAAAAAGAATTAATTAATATATATATATATAATATATATATATATATTAATTAAAACTTCCTTACTAATTTTTAATAAACTTAAAAATAGAGAGGGCTGTACACAATTCTACCTCTTATTTTTTCCAATTGAACCATCTTAAAGTGTATCAAACTATTTTGAGCATCAAAGGATTATTTTAGAAAATGGAAAGTTGTTTCCAAACAGTAAAGAAATTGTGTGTGAGAGAGAGAGAAATGGAAGAGGGGAGACAAATAATAATGCAAAATGCAGTATGTTTGGCCCCAGCTGTACCCAACATCCTCCCCCTCTGACTTCTCAATTCTCATAGAGAGCACCATTTTGGGTATCTTTACACTTCATTTGTCTTCTTCCTCTCCTTCTTCACTTTCATCTTTGAACCCCAATCTTTTCATTTTCACTATACATTCCAAAAGATGTTTTCCTTTTCACTATAATCACTTTCTTCCCACCACCACCTCCACTAATCTTTTACCATATTTACAAAAACAACATATTTTCATTTCTTCAACCGTTGTTAGTTTCTGAGGATGATGGGTTTCGAACTCATGATCTCTTGGTTAGAGATCGGTATAAATTACCTTTTCAAAGAGGCCTTTTCGAAGAAATTTGAATTTTCTATATGAAATCTTTGATTTGAATAAGGGGAGAAAATGTGGGTTTTGTTGGGAAAGCATTAATGGGTATTGGGGCCAAGTGGGTTGAAACATTATGATAAAGGTGGGCTTAACGGCGAAGGGCCACGAGTGAGTGTTACCAAAATTATAGGATAAAGAAAAGACAAAGGAATTATCATCAAATTTTGAAGACATGCCCACCTCCCAATTCATTGTGTTTTTGTTTTTTCTTTATGATTGTGCCAATGTTCTCACTGACAACATCTCTTCTTTCATTATTCTTAATCAAAACCATGCTTATATTTCAACAACCAAACGCTAACCCTTTCATTTTCCTCTGCCTTTTCTTCCTAATTTTGATTCCCTCTCCTATTTCCAAGGGTGAAACCATATAACAATTTATTATTTGTGAAATATCCAATCAATATTCTCCTATTCAAAAACAGTTGTAGACTTCTATCTTATCGTACCTAAAGTATCTTTATAATGGTGTGATATTATCCCATTTGAGGATAACGCTCACAGATTTATTTACATTATTTTATAAATTCAACGCAATCAAAAGCAATATATTAAAAAAAACAATAAATTGAGAGTAAATAAAGCTATTAGCCTATTCTTTTACTTTAACTAAAAAACTGAAAAGAAAACAAGTCATACAACAGATCGGCCGATTTTCCTCTCATTTTCTTACCTCAAGAGCATAGCACAGTGCTTTTTTAAAAAAAAAATAAAAAATTTATTATTATTATTATTTTGAGAAAAATCAATAGCATAGTACTGCTCCTACTTCCCCGTTTTATGACACTGAGATTCGGCCCATTTGGGAAAAAAATATAATGCTCATACTCATATGACCATTAAAATCTGATTCTGCTACATTAAATTATTTGAAAAGAAATCAATAACGAAGATGAACAAACAAACAAAGAAACATATGTTTGGAATCTCGAATTGGGAAAATTTTTGGATTCAATTTTACCCACAAAACCAATACCAATCTGAACAAAAACTATACATATCGATCAATCAATGCGCCATTACTTCCAACAATGCATTGAATGTAAATCAAAATCCCCCCAAAAACACCATCCAAAATTTCCACCCCAAAAAATCAAAAAAGGGATCAAACCCTAAGCAGGTAAATGCTGAGTTCAGGCCCTCCACCACAACAATCCGGGCTCATCATGTAAAAAGCTTCCGAGTCCTTGGACCCGACGACTCGCTCGAATCGCGCTCTCATGTACATCAATTCCCCCTCCGACTCGGACCCATTCGCTCCATTCCCCGCCGGCAGAACCCCGGCCCCCATCGTTATCGGCTCCACCGCCTTCAGAATCTTCTGCTCCTCCGCCCCGATCTCTCTCCTCGCCGCGTACCCGCATTTCTTCCCGTTGCAGTACGTCCTCCACAGCGCCTCCTCCACCAGCTTGCAGCTCTTCCTTCTCTCCCCTCTCTTCTCGCATTCCAGCGCCATTCGGACCATTCCCGACGCCATTTCCCTCACCAGAACGCTCGTCGCCGTCGGCAGCTCGATCAGAAACGCCGGATTCTGCTTTGGATCTTCCTGTATCGCGAAATACACACGCCCCCGTCGGTACCCGAATAGAGTACCCACGACCCGCCCGCCGACCCGCGACCGCCGGTGGCTCGCCCGGATCCGCCCAAATACAGTCAAAGCAGTTCGAATCCTGGAGACCGCCGGTCGGTTCGACGACGATGCCGGTGAAGGCTTCTTCTTCTTCTCCGGTTTGGGCTTCTGGTCTTCCTTATCTTGGTCAGTGAAGCGGGAGGACAAAGTGAAGGACAAGATTTGTTGTTGTTGTTGTTGTGGGTCTTCTTCTTCTTCATTGTGTTGAAATTTGTTTTTCCAGTTGAAGTAGCGCTTGGAGAAGGAGAGGGAGGAGTCGTGGGGGGATTTGGACATGATGGTGTTCATGTGGGGATGGAGGAGAGAAATGGGATTGTGTTTGATTTTGTATTGGTATTGGGTTTGTGAAAAATGGGGATGTGGGTTTTGGTATTAAATGTCAGAGATTGGAAAAGAAAAAGGTAAAGGAAAAGGAAGAGGAAGGTGAACAGCCCTACCAGATGCCTAATTCCAAAATTCAAAAGAGAGTGAATAGTGGAGAGTGGAGGGGACAATCCCCAATGTGAGTTCGTTTTCAAGAGTATCAATCCGTACCCACGAGAGCCGCAATGGGTGCGCCATCTTTGAATTTGCTTCCCAATTTGTCACAACTCCCAACAAACAATACACTAGAGACACACAGACAAATGCAATGGCATTGGCAGTGGCAGAGCCTGGTGTAAGTGCTGTGTCTCCCCCTGCCCTGTGGCTTAGTGGGGAACCTCTTTCACACTGCCACTTATGTCTCAAACAACTCCTCTTTCATGTTTTACTTTTACACAAACCATATCAATCTCTCTCACACCATCACAAATTGTGTTTGTATTTGATTTCAATCGGGCTTATCGTTAAGGCTTATAAATCAATTATTTGCTATGGTTAGTTGTATTTGAACTCTTGATCTTCGAGAGCTAGTATGAGTGTGCTATTTGACTCACACCTCTTAAACTCATTACTCGTGGAGAGTCATCCATTCTTTTTCTCGAAACAACTCGAAAAATAAAATTACCAAGAGATTTTCTCTAGTACATTGATTGAATGCTTTCTAAAATTCTACCTTTTAGCTTCCCATCTTTCTTCAACTTTGACTTTATATTTGAAAGAAAATGAATAGAGGTTTAAAATATGTCATAAAAGTCACAACATTTAGTCAACTTACAAATATTTTTAAAGACCTAACCAAACTATAAAATTACATGAAACTTTTGAAAAACTGTAAAGAAAAAATTGAATCAATTATTAAAATGATTTTTTTTAAGAAGGCTCTACTCTATTTGCATTTTTAAGGGGATTTGGGCATCTCATTATTTATTATTATTAAATTTAGCCAAGTATTTTGGTCCTGAGAGTCCAGTTTTCATGCAAGTAGGATTGCATTTAATATCTCGAGTGAAAATTTTCTTGAAACTTGAAAGAAATTATTTCAACAGTACAGTACTATATATATCACATTAAAAATGATTTTTTATATATATATTATAAAAAAAAAAAAAGACAAAAATAAATGCAGCCGGAATGGAAAAAAGAAAACAAAAGGCTAAAACAATAGTGTTGACACTGCATGGGACAAACAGCTCAGAAGCTCTGTCCTGAGTGTCAAAATGTCAAAGAAAACAAATAAATGGAAGCATTGAGCCGATAAACACATTAAAAAAAGCATAAAAAAAAGCTGTGGAAATGACATACCCTAGCTTCTATCTATCTATCTATGTTGTAATAATAATAATAATAATAAGTAAAAATAAATAGTGGAATTTATTGGATTTAGTTTGGTGATCCCTAGGTTTCCAACCTATCTGTCTCTCTCCCACATGCTCGACATGTTACCCTTTCATTCTCTTTCTACAAATATATGTTGAATTTTAGGCTCACACCTAAAAATTCAAATGTTACACACCTCAATCCATTTAAATAATTGACATTTCTCATTGTGAAATCTAACTTATATATTTATCAACAAAGAAAAAAGAGTGTCAACGAAGTGGGATGTAAAGTCTATATTATTTTTATTTTTAATCCAATTGTGTTTTTGGACTTTTCTTTTTATTTTATTTTAGTTTCTAGATTTTTATAAAATTGAGACAATTTTGACCCTGTTGAAGCCGTATGTGATAGGTTGGGTATTCCCAATCCGAGTTATGTTATTAAATGACTAATAACAAGTTAAGGATAGAAATTACAATAGCTTTCTTATTAGAAAATTAAGAGATTCAAAGAACTGAGAGATTAAAACGAAATAGGTATAGAATGAAATTAAACCAACAATTTTATCCACTAAAGGGGGTTGGGGTTGTATTATTAAAAGTGAATTAAATTAAAAAAAATAGTGGAAATTGCATGTGAGTAAGGTAGGAAAATAAAATAAAATAATAACCCACCAAACCAAACCAAACCAAATTGACACCGATGAACCAACCAAGCCCATTGACAAACAATAGCTAGAGAGACTTTTTAGCTTTTAGCTTTAATAGGATTTGGATGAACTAATTAAGTCCGTTCACTAACTTTACACTTTTAAATTACAATACTTTAGTACAAAAATAGCAAGTAAAAAACTAACCTAGTTTTAAATGTTCAAAAGTCAAGGTCACATTAAGAGTGAAAAAAAAAAAAGATACGATCTTGGTTTATCTGTAATCTAAGTCCAAAAAAGACACACACATATACGATTTGAAGCAATTCCTTTTGTATAACACGTGAGACGGTAAATTTGAACTCACGACCTTTTTAGTAAGAGATTAGTGTCTTCACCAGAATTATGTTCAAATTGACTATGATTTGAAGCTATTAGTAGGTTTATAGATGATAATTGAATTGAAAAGGTTAAATTAGTTTAGGTATTTATTATGGGCTGAAATTCTCCCACTTGCATTTACAGATTTACTAAAAATGTTAATAAATATTAGTTTAATCGTGCTGATTAAAATTACGAATTGCTACCCACCTGTTCCAAGTTGTACCTCTTTTAAAAGAAGGGTATATATGTAATAAGGCCATATATAAATGGGTTTGATACGATTTGTCCAAAATGCATCTTCATAGGCCCATCTCGAGTGCAAAACAAGAACGGCCCAACAAAAGAGGAATCTTCGGCTCGGCCAGGACTCGGCCCATTAAGCGTAGAGCCCACAAAAATAAACTCGTTTCTGTCATCACAAAAATCTATCTAATATTCAAACCGTTCTATTTTCAAACTAATTATATTATTGTGATTACTAATTCTTTGTAAAGTTAATGGGGTGTGTTGCACTCTTAATTTAACTTTGTTCAAAACAAAATAAAATTTATCTACTAATCGAGATTGGTATAAGGTACCAATATAAGTATAGTTTAGTGGTAATTGGTAAGTTCGATCTCCCATATCTCCAAACTATGGTATTAAAAAAAATTTGGTATAAGGTATAGATGTATTTTTAAGAAGACCTCCTTTTCATGTAAGATATATATTTTATATTCATTGTTTAATTGAAATTACAACATTAATGTATTTTTAAGAATACAAAATGATAATCAACTTGAACTTCTTACTTAGGTTAGCAATCCTTGTTAGACTAAAATTTCAGTTTCATTTTATATTCTAAATTTGAATAACAATTTACTTTGGAGCAATTAAAAAACTTGGAACAAAAAAAGAAGGAAAAATGTTGCAACAAAGCAGAACATTTTATTTGAATATATTTTATATTAAAATATCTTAAGACAATTAGGTGTCGTGGTGTAGTTGGTTATCACGTCAGTCTAACACACTGAAGGTCTCCGGTTCGAATCCGGGCGACGCCAATTTATCCTTTTTGTTTCGTTTTCTAAATCTTTGAAATTAGCAAAAGTAAAAATAAAATTACAATTGTTCGCTGACGTTTAATGATGTCGTGGTGTAGTTGGTTACCACGTTAGTCTAGCACATTGAAGCACTTCGGTTCGAATCCGGGCGACTCCAATGTTTACCTCTGTTTTATTTTCCAGATCTTTGAAATCAGCAAAATAAAGTTGGTAGTACAAATTGGCTGTTGACGCCAATTTTTCTAGGTATTTTTTATTTTTATTATAGAATAAAGAGGCCCCAAATCCGGTAATTTCCGAAAATGCAGTAGAAGGTAATAAATAACCTTTTTTTCCTTTGCAAAAAATAACCTTTTTTTATTATCTTTTTTGTCTTTTTGGATTTCATAAACAAAACCTGTTGGTTACAATTCAAAGATGGGTATTCATTTAGGGTTTTAAACATTCTCACCACAAAGATGGGTATCCATTGATCAACTTCTCTATTTTATTTGATATATCACGTTAGATTACTAGAAAGCAATGTCAAAGTCAATAAAATTTTCAAAGCCCTAATTTTATGAAAATATTGATAGAAAAATCGGAAAAAAATGTTGATTTTGATGAGTATGAATATTTATAGAAAAAGTTATAGAAAATGTAAAATCATAAAATATTTAAATAAAAAAAAAAGTACTTCCCCCCTTCCAAATAAGCTAAAAATCGTTAATATTTTATCTAATTTTAGCGATACTAGTCTATTGAAATGTCGAACCAACCCTTCTATCGTTGTAAAATTTGGGGATGTTCAAAAAACCCGACAACCTGACGAACCTAACCCAATAGATGAAGCCTCGGATTACGTTGGGTTTCGGGTTCAACCTTTAAAAAATTGGGTCAATCCAACCTGACCCGAATTTATATATATATGTGTATTTTTTAATTATATATATATATATATATTCAATGTCAACCGTTCATTTAATTTTAATCATAGTTTTTTATTTAAAGTTCTCATATTATCTTATTCTATTTTGTACCTTAATCTGAGTCGTTTATTTAGTTTTAATCCTAACTCTCGATCATTGCGATGATAATTAAAAATAAAAAATTAAAAAGAAAACACAATCCAACAACCCAACTCGAAGATATTGGGTTGGATTGGGTTGACCATCTAATTCAAACCCGACGGTTCCTATATATAACCCAGCGGATGAACACTCCTATTAAAATCTATCAACATAAAAAATGTTGAAATAGAAGAGTAGAAAAAATAAAAGAGAGATACATTATATTTCCACAAAAAGGAAGAGCACATGATGTCTGCGCTCAACAACACACAGCCATAGATTAAACAACATACAACACATAATTGTTACATTATAACCACAATTCTTTATTCTTTTTACTTCTTCTAAGAATGGCGACATTAATTAAGAATAAGTAATTAGAAATTAAGCTACATGACGATGTATGTATTCATGGGAAGGGATTAAAGCCATCAACGACCATATTTTTAATGGGACCAAAAAGTGGGTGCGGCAAATTTTGCCATTCATACCAATCCCATCCCTCGCATTTCTCCGGCTCCAAATTCTGTGGAGTCTGGTTCGGATCTGCCAAGACTGCTCGCACGAACACAACCACATAATGCGCAGGCCTTGGCTGCTCCAGAAACAGATTATTGGTCACTTTTAGAAACTCGATCTTCTCGATATCCAGCCCCGTCTCCTCTTTCATCTCTCTCGCAGCGCATTCTTCGAAATTCTCCCCTGATAAAATGTGATAATCTCGAATTCATGAGCTCATTTAAAACAGAGTAGTTGTTAATTTAATTAGGAGATTAGGTCATTTAAGCGAATTACCAAATTCGAGATGGCCACTTGGGAGGGAATATTTGGAGTTCCCAATGGTCACGAGGCGGCGCCCCATTAGCACGCGATTCCCTTTTAACAAGCAGATCGCGACTGCTACCTGCGGCGTTGGCGTTGGCGGCGGCGATATTGCTGCTTCTTCTTTCTTCGCATTTCCATTAATTGTGTGTTGCGGCTCAGCGACGACGGACACCATATTTGAAGATCTTACAACTGAAACTAATCGATTTCAATAGTCCAGTTTGAAGAGTTGAAGGGAAGGTGATGGATCATGAGCTCTATTTATAGGCAACTGGAAGAAAAAGAATCATGCTTTTTTTTTAGTTGGATTCCAGTGTAATTCAAATACCATTAATATTTAATATATAAAAATAAAATCTCCATATTCAATTTCCTGCAGTTTATAAAGAATTTTATTTCGGTCTACTATTGATTGACAGATGGGGAAAGGATTTTTTTTTTCCCTTACCTTCTTTTTGAATTGACTTTGTTCAAATGGTAATTGGTAATTATATGTGTTAAATGCGACTGTATTTCCTTTTTAAGTTATTCCAAGTGATTGCATGGGAAAGGTTTATTGTAAATTTCTAGATAATAATTATCTAAGACATCAATATTCTATCTAGATGAGATGTTGTGAGTTTGATTCCCACCTCGGTATGTTAGTTGGGATGAGTTTATGAGATGTGAAGTGTGTTCAAGTGAGTTTGTGGTACTTGAGGTGAGTTTCGTCGGATTTGACATGTTTGTTAGTTCGTGAGATACACATTTGTTTTGGTTTTAAGATGAAATTAGATTTAAACAAACAAAATATTTAAATGGTAAGTTTGATGGGAGTGGACCACATTATTAGTTCAACTATTTAGATCATAGAACTTAAAAATAATTTAAAAAAATAAATCTACCCAATAGAATTACTGAATATCTGAAAACAAACAGATTCGGATTACATACTCCTAAAAAATTTTCCTTTTCCTACTACAACTAATTTTTTTATTCAATGTTTTTAAAAAAGCAAAATACCGCCAAATTGTAACTAGTTTTTTTTAGAAGAGTAAAGAATACTTACCGGTGAGCACTTATTTTCTATTTATCTTAATCACCGTCAAATTTTTTAACAAGTATGAAAGATATTTTTTATATAATTCAAAATAATAAAGAGTTTTCAAATTTCTAGGGGCACTTTTATTAGAAAATTAAAAAGTTTAAAAGGAATTATGGGGGTAGTCAAGTAAATGAGCGCTTCTTGCGGTGTCGGCGGGCGGCGGCGCCATTGCTGATTCCTCTTTTGTTCTCTCCTCTTTCTTCCCCTCTCCTATTAAATCATTCTTATCAATATATTTGACTCAAACCTTAATTTTTCTCCATAAATAAATATCATTTTAATATTTCTTAAATAATTATACTAAAACGATATTTCAATTTGAGCATACAACTCATTAAAATACTAAATTAAAAGTTTCAAATCTCTGTTCTCATTAACTTTGACATTCTGAAGTTCAAATGTATGTGTAGTAGTTTGATTTATATACTTCTTTTTCATTTAAAATTTAGAAACATTAAAAGAGAGACGTAAAATAAAGGAGGCAACTTTAATTAAATAAGAAAGCTAGTGAATATATAGAAGAAAAAGACGTCAACTTTATTAAATGGGCTTCCAAACCTTGACCGACGAGACGCCAATGGAATATGATTAGAAGGCGGATACCCTTTGAAATTATTGGATAATCCCTATTTCCTATTTTCAATATTTTGTTAAAAGAATATATGGGTGATTTCGTCGGCAAGGATATGGAATCTCTTGATTGTACAGATAACCTTTTGGTGAGCTTAATATAAAATGTTCTTGATATGGACTTTGAGGCATGCACATGTGCGTGGATATAAGAAGACAAATTCCCGTCTTCCGATTATTATAAAAAAATAACTTATTTTGTTAGAGGTTCAAAATTACTTAAACACAAGAATAAAATAATAATTTCGATAAGGTAAAAACATGGTAATTTTACTAGTGAAGCATATCTAATAATAAACCTTATATATTGTTTATGCAAGGATATGCACAACAGTGTATTTCAGATTGCAGCTCGAACTCGGCCTCCTGACCGATCTGAATACTTGGGCGGACCTGCACAAAAAGGTGAGCACTCCGACGATCAAGTCAGTATAGGTCGGATTCCCAGTTTAGTTCGAGGTCAGAAATCATCGTACCTGATCGTGGAGTGAGGTCCTCTACTTATGGGTGGTAGTCCCGCTAATCTCGCGACGGTTACACCCGGTAATCTCGGGACCGTCGGTTACAC